ACTTGCACCTCCCAGCTCTCTCCACCTTGGCCCAGTGACTCCTCCCTGAGCCACTAATGCTGTTCAGAGGCAGTGACAACAGTGACTCCACTCCTCAGCACCCAGTTTCTGTATTAGTCTGTCATGCAGCCAGAGGCTGGGGGCTTTATGAAAGAAATTGACTCGTTTCTTTTTTTTGTTTTTTCCAAAATTTTTTTTCCTTTTAAATATTTTTTACATAGTTGCACACCCATGTGGGTCATCAGTTAGGGTAGGGAGGATCAGGTAGGGAGGGAGGTAGGTGGGGCACATGTTTCAGGTTTGTTTATTTTTTCTCCTGTATCTGCAGGGGAGGAGAGGAAAGGGGCCACTCTTGCTGCCAAACAGTGTCAGCATCCGGGGATGGGGGACTCTCATTTGATGACGTCTTAGAAACCCCAATGTGGGGAAGATTGTTCTGAAGGTGTTACTTGAGTGGTTTTGATAGATCTGAGAAGTCGTTGCTTTCGCTGCTCCAGGGTGGAGGAAGTTGACACCTTAAGTGCATCCACAGACGCAGAAACATGTTGCAAAGCTTAGTCCAACCTGTTCTGCTTTCCATCCTCTGGCAAGGCAGTCACCATCCCCTGCTGGCCTCGATGAGCTGGCCATCACATCCCCGTGTGCATCTAGGTGTGCTGTCCGCTGCACTGGCATCAGCAACTGAGGAGGCGCAGTCCTGATACGTGTACTGCAAGGTTGAACATCAGATCCTGTGATTTTTTTTCCTGTGGCCAGCATCTGAGTCCAGCGATTTAGTCAAGGAGTCTTCCAAGAAACCTCATCTGGGGTGACCTCAGACTTGATTCTGTGTGTGTCAGGCTGTACAGGTTCATGTGCAGTCTGTCACCTGCACCAGCCAGTGCCCATACTGGTGGATGCAGCTGACTAGTCAGTTCTGACCAGCCCTATATGTCTCACATGAACTGATGGAAACTACAGCCTAGCCCAACCTGGTCCACCCTTAGCCCCAGCTCTCACAGTCACCAGTGGGAGCTGCAGCCAGCAGGGAAGTCCCCAAAGTTCCCCTACCTGGCCCATCCCCAAACCCAGGTCTTGCACATGCTGGCAGGTGCTTCATTCCAGCCTGGCATGGCCCAGCTGCAGCCTCAGCTCTCTCTGGTGGGTGTTGTAGTCTAGCCTAGCCAGGTGTAACCCACTTTGTCCTGGCTCTTGTGTGTGCCAGTGGGTGCTAAGGCTGACCTAGCTTGGCCTACCTTCAGCCCCAGCTCCCATGCTCCCTAGGGGAATTACTCAAATTCCCCTACCAGGCCTGCTGCCAGTCCCAGATCTCATGAGAGCCAGCAGGAGCAACAGCCCTTGCTTGGCATGGGCTGCCCTCAGTCCTATCCCTTGCACGTGCCAGCAGTGCTACAGCCTGGCACCGCCCAGCCTCTCCCCAGCTCCAACCTCTCCCCAGCCCCAGCCTCTCCCCAGCCCCAGCCTCTCCCCAGCCCCAGCCTCTCCCCAGTCCCAGCTCCCATGAGTGTTAGGTAGATTCCTGTTAGGTGAGTCCTATGGTCCAGCCTGCCTCGGCCCTATAACCACCCCCAGCTCTCTGCATGAACCAGTGGGTATTGCAGTCCCACAGAGGGGAGCGCGCAAGTCTCTTACAGAAGTCTGCACCCAGATCCAGTTGTCTTACATTCTAGTGGGTGCTACAGACCAACCTGACATGGCCTACCCCCTGCGCTTGACACTCACCAGGAGGTACCACAGCTTAGCCCAGCCAGGCACGCCCCTGACCCCCAGCTTTTGTATGCACCATAGGGTGGCAGGCAATACCATTTAGGCCAGCTCAGGTTTCCCACATGTCTGGGTGCCTTGGCCTGACTCAGAAATGCCCTCTAGTTCCCCCCACCTCTAAACCACTCTATCTCAGCTCTCTTGCCTACCTGCAAATGCAGTGGCCTGGTCCGTAGAAGATTCCAGAAGCCATTCCTTCCCTGTCAATCCTGCCCTGAGCTACTCCCACTCCAATACGTCCCCAGACCCCCCTTCCCTAAGTAATGTATAGCCTTACCCCACCCCCAACCTGAGGGCTGTGTTTACTGCCTTTCTTGACTTACCTAAACAAACAAACAAACAAAAAACAACACCAACCAAAGAATAAGCAAGTAGGCTGGCACACTGGCCTAGTTAACACAAATTTGGCCCTGATAGCCAGCTCCTGGTTGCCTTTCTCCCAGCAGTGTAGCACTTGCCCAGGTTCAAGGAAACCAGGCAGTTGAACAAGCTCACTTCAGCTTAAGGTCCAGTTCCAAGGGCAGGTCCATCTCGGGCAATGGTCCTCCTGCTGACAGAGTTGTGCAGGGGTGCAGGGCATCCCCCAGCCCCTGGCAGAAGACAGGGAGTATGCACAGTGTCTTCTTTGCTATCTTCTTAGGGAGCCACTGAGATTCCCCCTTGACCTTGGCCTAGTCCCAGCCACCTCCCAGAGGCCTCCTCTATGAACACTAGGCAGATTCAGCTTCTACCCTGCTGAGACCTCACAGGGGGGCTCAGGTTCATCACACATGCGCTGGCCAACACACTCGAACCCTAGCAGGGTCAGACATACAGATTCCTGGGCCTCACCCTGAATTTCTGCAGTCAGAAGGGCCAGCAGCTGGGGACCCAGAGTCTGTGCTTCTATAAGCTCCCTGGTCATCCTGGTGGTCACACTACTTAGCTGGCGCTGACCCAGAGCTGGGGTTCCACGCTGCAATAAGCAAGGCTGGAAGACAGGCGCTGGAAGAATGAGAGCACACGAAGTAATTTTAGCAAAGCGAGTAGCCAGGGTCCCAGGCCTAGAGGCACCAGGGCCAGCAGCCCATCCCACCCTGCCATGCCGTATTTATTGACCACATAGCAACGTTAGCTGATGATTGCAACTTTTGAGGCAGGACATCAGATAGAAAGTTTTTCCACTATGTTTGTTTCCCCGTACCTTAAAGACCAATCTGTTGCATACAAGGTGGTATACAATAGTGTTTCCCGGCTCCTGAAAACACCCACCTAAAGTATGGATGCTGGTGGCTGTCTCACTTTCCATCAAAGAACTGTAGTCGTGGTTTTCCAAGGAGACAAAAGCCTCCGATGCCGGGCAGGCAGTGTGTCTAGCTCTGGCTTCTCTGTGGCTTGCGCTCAGACACCAGTTGTCAGCTTGTGGGTTTCCAAGGCCACGGGTTATAACAATTGCTGTAAGGTCCCTGACAGGGTCAGAGTAGCACAGAGCAAGTGCCTGAAGAGCAAGCCCATAACGAAAGGGGTGGGGCTTGCTTGGGGAGGCTCTGTGTGACCCAATGGACCCGAGGAAGGGAGGCAGGAGGGAGTGGGGGACTTGTTTGCATCCGTAGGCAGGCCCCTCTCTTCTCATCACCCTCTTCTGTCCCTCCCTCCCACCCCACTGCAGTGGATCCTGAAGCTGTGTGGCTGCTCCAAGGCTGGCTTTTCCAGCACCAGCCCCAGTTCTGGGGGCCCTCCCAGCTCAAGGCGGTGCTGAGGGCTGTGCCCCGTGGCCGCCTCCTGGTGCTGGATCTGTTCGCTGAGAACCAACCCGTGTATAGCCGCAGTGACTCCTTCCAGGGTCAGCCCTTCATCTGGTGCATGCTCCACAACTTCGGGGGCAACCATGGCCTGTTTGGGGCTCTGGGAGCTGTGAATCAAGGCCCCGCTGCTGCTCGCCGCTTCCCCAACTCCACCATGGTCGGCACGGGCATCGCGCCTGAGGGTATCGGCCAGAATGAGGTGGTCTATGCCCTCATGGCTGAGCTGGGCTGGAGGAAGGACCCAGTGCAGGACCTTGAGGCGTGGGTGACAGGCTGGGCCAGGCGGCGGTACGGGGCCTCCCAGCCCGGCGCAGAGGCTGCCTGGAGGTTGCTGCTGCACAGCGTGTACAACTGCTCTGGCGACACCTGCCGGGGACATAACCACAGCCCACTGGTCAGGCGGCCTTCCCTCCAGATGAACACCACTACCTGGTATAACCGCTCAGATGTGTTTAAGGCCTGGCACCTGCTGCTCACGGCTGCCCCAGCCCTGGCCGCCAGCCCTGCCTTCCGCTACGACCTGCTGGACATCACTCGGCAGGCGCTGCAGGAGCTGGTCAGTGTATACTACGAGAAGGCCAGGACCGCCTACCTGGCTAAGGAGCTGGTGCCCCTGCTGAGAGCTGGGGGCATTCTGGCCTACGAACTCCTGCCTGCCCTGGACAAGGTGCTGGCCACAGACAGCCGCTTTCTGCTGGGCAGCTGGCTGCAGCAGGCCAGGGCTGCAGCGAGCAGCAAGGCGGAGGCCCAGTTGTATGAGCAGAACAGCCGCTACCAGCTGACCCTGTGGGGACCAGAGGGCAACATCTTGGACTATGCCAACAAGCAGCTGGCTGGGCTGGTGGCCGACTACTATACCCCACGTTGGCATCTCTTTATGGAGGCCCTGGTCAAGAGCCTGGCCCAGGGCACCCCTTTCCAACAGCGTGCCTTTGACAAACTCGTCTTCCAGGCGGAGCTGGCCTTCGTTCTTGGCTCCCAGCAGTATCCCACTATGCCCCAAGGTGATACAGTCGAACTGGCCAAGAGAATCTTCCTTAAATATTGTCCCCAGGAGGCAGTTGCCTCATCGTGAGACAGATGAACCACCCGTGAGCTGCATTCTCAAACTCCAGGCGGAAGCTGATTTCCCGGAATCTGGAACTAGACTGACACCAAGTGTATAGCCTGCCCCAGCCCACCCCCAGCTCACTGGAGACCGGGAGAAGGACCTGTGGTGGGGTCCAGCACAAAGGGTTGACAGGGAAAAGAAGCACATGCCTTTCAGCACCCCAAAGCTGGGTCGTGTGCCATTTTCTGTTTAATAAACAGATGAGCCAGTCTTTGTTGTGGTGAGGTCACCCAGAGGTGGGTGGGAGGAGGACTTGAGGGTGCAGCAGGGACCCTGGTGTGAGGGCCAGGGAGGAGGGACCCTGGTGTGAGGGCCAGGGAGGAGGGACCCTGGTGTGAGGGCCAGGTCTCCTCAGCCCTTGCCTCAGCGTCACTGTATTTATTATCTCCAAAGCACTGATGTTTCCAGGAAGCTTTGGTAACTGTCACTCCCCCCCACACGCACCAGCTAAGATCTGTCCCCAGGGAGTTGGGGAGGTGCTGGGTGCCCCCAGGGTACCCACACGTAATTGCACAGCTGTTCCTGCAGCTGGAAACAGTGGCATTCCCCTGCAGCCACCTCATTCCGGACCGGAGCTACAGAGCTGCCCGCAGAGGGGCTGGGGTGGAGTGGGTGCTCGGCTAGGCCTTGAGATTGCCCTGCAGACACAACAAGGGGTGGGGTCCCCACAGGCACGGGGAGGGGCAAAGTCCTTGAAAAGCTGCCCTCCTCCCCACCGGCTCTGCCCTCCCCCAGTGCTCCTGAGCCGCTGCACCATGGACCACACAGTGGTGCTCATTACCGGCTGCTCCTCTGGCATCGGCCTGCACCTGGCCGTGCGCCTGGCCGCCGACCCATCCCAGAGATTCAAAGGTACAGAGGGGGACAGGGCAGAAAGAAGAGCCAGAGCCCCTGGGGGGAGGTGAGATCCTCAGGACTACCTTCTCTCACACTTCCAGTGTACGCCACGCTGAGAGATCTGTCAGCGCAGGGCCCGCTGCTGGAGGCAGCCCAGGCCCGCGGGTGTCCGCCTGGCTCCCTGGAGATATTGCAACTGGACGTAAGGGATTCAGACTCTGTAGCTGCAGCCCGGGCACATGTGACCGAAGGCCGCGTGGATGTGTTGGGTGAGCCTTCCTTACCCTGTGTCGTAGCCATAGGGGCCCTAGCCAGCGGGCTGTGCCTATGAGCCTTGGGTGAGGTGGTTGGGGTCTGGCCCCTCTTGCTGCAGTGTGTAACGCCGGCCGTGGAGTGCTTGGGCCACTGGAGGCGCACTCGGTGGACACCGTGGCCTCCATACTGGACGTGAACGTGGTGGGGATGGTGCGGACACTGCAGGCCTTCCTGCCAGACATGAAGCGGCGAGGCTCAGGGCGTGTGTTGGTGACCGGCAGCATGGGGGGCTTGATGGGTGAGCCGGGATAAGCTGGAGCGCAGGGGTGGGGCTTGGGGGCAGGCGCCACCTGTTACTGGAGGTTCCCTTCTTGCACCGGTCTTTCCAACCACGTCCTCTTCAAGGGCTGCCCTTCAATGATGTCTACTGCGCCAGCAAGTTCGCGATTGAAGGTTTATGCGAGAGTCTGGCGGTTCTGCTGCCACACTTCGGGGTCCAGTGAGTCGCTTCCCAAGCCCTGTGAGCCCCCGGGGACTCCCAAACGTGTGTCCTACTGGACAGGCCGCTCTCTCGAACGGGATCCTGGTCCTGGGTCAAGCGTGGGTGCCAGGCACCGTGCAGGACACTTGACTGGCGCACATCGTGTTGCGCCCATGCGCGGTGCCTGCCACGGGGGAAGGCGTGGGTTGGTTACGGCCAGGTGAGTGGCCCTAGGTCTCGCAGCTGCTGCCAGGGCCCGCAAGTCCCAAGTCCCACCACCGGTGCGCACTGACCCCCTCCCCGTCCTCAGCTTGAGCCTCATCGAGTGTGGCCCTGTGCACACCGCTTTCCTGGAGAAGCTGGAAGGCGGCCCCGGCGGTTCCCTGGAACGCGCGGACGCCCAGACCCGCCAGCTCTACTCTCTTTATGAACGCCACAGCCAGGAGGTCTTCCGCGAGATGGGGCAGGACCCCGAGGAGGTGACGGAGGTGGGTGCTGGGCCTGGGAGTCCGGGCCGGGGGAGAGGGGGCGCGGGCGGTTTGTGGCGCATCCTGGACCGGCGCTGCTCCCGCCGCCACTGCAGGTCTTCCTCACTGCGCTGAGCGCCCCAGAGCCTGCCCTGCGCTACTTCAGCACCAACCGCTTCCTGCCCCTGACACGGCTGCGTCTGGACGATCCCAGCGGCGACAACTATGTCGCCGCAATGCACCGCGTGGTGTTCGCGGATCAGTGCGCCTGGTCTATGGCCCAAGGACCCGGGAGGCATGAGCCCGGCGCCGCTGCTGCCATCCCACAATAAAGACTTGGCTTGCTGTGCTCTCCTTTGCTTCTCAGTGTGCAATCCCACGCATGGGGCAGGGTGGCAGCTGCCCCTGTTACGCCTGCACGGAAACAGAAGCAGAGACAGAGGACAGAGCCAGCCCAGGGTCCGGGCTTCAGCAGCCCACAGCGCGGAGTCTGGTGGACTTGTTGGGGGAGAACAAGCCATAATGTCCTAACTGATCTGTACTATCCATTTTCTTATCTGTAAAATGGGCCCAAAGCTAGTCATAAACTGTAGTGAAAATGAAGCAAGAGAAGGCCTGAAAGGGGTTAGGAGAGAGGCGTCCATTTGTAATTGGAGAGGGGAGAGACACAGAGCGCTCACTCCCTTCAGCTGGTTCACTTTCCCAGATGTTCTCAATAGCCTGGGCCGGACTGGCAGAAGCTGGGAGCTCAAAACCAGTGGGGTCCTGCCTAAGGCTGCCGGGATCTGGTTGGCAGGAAGCAGGAGTCTGGAGCAGAGCTGCGGGCCAGGCTGGATTACCCCTCGGTCTGTCCTGTGGCAGGACTGGTTGATCCGGGTCTGCAGATAGGGTACAGCCCAGCTCCTAAGTTCCTAAGGGTCTGGGGGCGGGGCAGAGGGCAGGTGGAGGCCAATTGAGGAGGATGCAGGTGCGCAGGCGTGCCCCAGGAAAGGATGATTGGAGGTGGGGATTGGACCGGGCGGTACCGCCTCCCAGGAGGGGTAGGACGAGGGTGTATGGTGTGAGGCAGTGTGGCTGTGGAGCAGCTGGGGAGTGGAAGTGGAGAGAACCCTTCTGTAGTCTTGGGGCTTTGTGGGGTGTCTGGGAAGGGGGGCACTGAGTCCACACCTGTATCCACTAGAGGGTCTTGTCTGGGCCTTTGCCCCAGGGGAGGACCTCACAGTTGCCCTGCCACCTGGGCCGCCCTGTCCTGCTGGCCCAGGTGATCTGCGGTCTGCAGAGCATGAGGAAGAGGAGAGACCTGGGGGATGTGGAATTCTGAATGCGCCCCACCCATGCCTCGCACCTCTCTGTATGGACCAGAGACCAAGTGTGACCCCACTCTTGCATATACTCATCCTCTCAAAGATTTATCCACTTTTTTTTTAAAGATTTATTTTTATTATTTTTTCATTGGAAAGGCAGATATACAGAGAGGAGAGACAGAGAGGAAGATCCTCCGTCCGATGATTCACTCCCCAAGTGAGCGCAACGGCCGATGCTATGCCGATCCTCCCGGTCTCCCACACAGGTGCAGGATCCCAAGGCTTTGGGCCGTCCTCGACTGCTCTCCCGGGCCACAAGCAGGGAGCTGGAAGGGAAGTAGGGCTGCCGGGATTAGAACCGGTGCCCATATGGGATCCCGGGCGTGCAAGGCGAGGACCTTCAACCACTTGCGCCACCGCGCCGGGCCCGATTTATCCACTTTTATTTGAAAGGCGGCATTACAGAGAGAGGAGAGACAGATCTTCCTTCTGTGGGTTCACACCCAAATGGCCATAATGGCCTGGGCTGGGCCAGGCGAAAGCCTGGAGCTTCTTCCAGGTCTCCCATGTGGGTACAGGAGCCCAAGGACTTGAGTCATCTGCTGCTTTCCCAGGCAGTAAGAAGAGAACTGGATCAGAAGTGGAGCAGTCAGGACTCAAATCAGCACCTGTATGGAATGTCAGCACCACAGGCAGAGGCTTAAAATACTATGTATGCCACAGTGCCGCCCCTAAATTAAAAAATATATATATATATTTATTTTTATTGAAAAGGCAGATATACAGAAAGGAGGAGCGACAGAGAAGAAGATCCTCTGAACAATGATTCACTCCCCAATTAGCCGCAATGGCTAGAGCCAAGCCAATCTGAAGCCAGGAGCCTCTTCTGGGTCTCCCACACAGGTGCAGGGTCCCAAGGCTTTGGGCCGTCCTCAACTGCTTTCCCAGGCTGCAGGCAGGGAGCTGGATGGAAAGTGAGGCTGCCGGGATTAGAACCGGCACCCATATATGATCCTGGCGCATTCAAGGTGAGGACTGTAGCTGCTAGGCTACCATGCCAGGCCCCAAGTTTTGCTCATTTCCAACGACAGCTTTGCCCCCCCCCACCCTTGTGCCAGGGCTGTGGACCAGTGGTGACCCTGACTCTTCCTCTTCTCCTCCTTGGCACCGACAGCTCCACCTACAGTCTAGGGGCATGCTGGAAGTCGCCAGACTCCAAGCACTGTTAACTCACTCTCTGCCTGCTGCCACAGCCACCTAATAGTTTCTGGACTCCCCTGATCACAGGGCAGTCAGAATGACCATTTTAAACTCCAAGTCTGGGAGCCAGCGCTGTGGCTTAGTTGGGTAAGTCACTACCTACATTGCCAGCATTCCATATGGGCAGTGGTTTGAGTCCTGGCTGTTCCGTTTTCTGATCCAGATCTCTGCTATTGTCCCTGGGAAAGCAGCGAAGGATGACTCCAGGCCTTGCAACCCTGCACTCATGTGGAAGACCAGGAGAAAGATTCTGGCTCCTGGTTCTAGCCTGGTCCAACCCCAGCCATTGGGAGCATTTAAGGAATGAAGCAGGGAATTGAAGATCTCTTTCCCTCATCCTACCAAATAAGTAAAATAAATCTTTTTTAATATTGGAAGTCTGGGGCCATACATGGCAGTTTAGTGGCTAAATTCCTTACTTTACACATGCCAGGATTCCATATGTGTATGGATTCTAACCCTGGCATCCCCAATTCCCATCCACCTCCCTGTTTTTGGCCTGGAAAAGCAGTCGAGGACGGCCCAAAGCCTTGGGACCCTGCACCTGCGTGGGAGACCCGGAAGAGGCTCCTGGCTCCTGGATCAGCTCAGCCTCGGCCATTGTGGCCATTAGAGGAGTGAACCAGCAGACGATCTTCCTCTCTGCCTCTCCCCCTCTCTGTAGATCTGACTTTAAATTGGAAGTCTGGGGGCCTGTGTTGGGGCACAGCAGGTGAGGCTGTCGTGCCCTCTGGGCCACATTAGAGCGGCAGTCAAGGCTGTGGCAGCTCAGCTACTGAGGGCACCAGAGGATGACCCAAATGTTTGGGGCCCTGAACCTGCACGGGTGCCCTGGAGGAAATTCCTGGCTGCTGCATGAAAATATTAAAAAAAAAAAAATCCGAGACTGCTCATGTCTCTGCTCCAGGCCTTTCCCATGCCTTCCCAGCTCAACTTTATTCCTACCAGGTCTCCTTTCCAGCCTCATCTCCCAACACTTTCTGTTCCTTGTCACCTAAGGTATAACAGTTACTCTTGCCTCCTTCTTGCTGTTTTATTTATTTTTTAGAAGATTAATTTTTATTGCAAAGTCCGATGATTCACTCCCCAAGCGACCACAACTGCTGGTGCTGCACCAATCTGAAGCCAGGAACCAGGAGCTCTTCCGGGTCTTCCACACAGGTGCAGGGTCCCAAGGCTTTGAGCCGTCCTTAACTGCTTTCCCAGGCCACAAGCAGGGAGCTGGATGGGAAGTAGGCTGCCAGGATTAGAACCGGCGCCCATATGGGATCCTGGCATGTTCAAGGCGAGGACTTTAACTGCTAGGCCATGGCATTGGGCCTGTTTCATTTATTTATTTTAATGAAGATTTATTTTATTTCCATCAGAAAGGCAGATTTACAGAGAAGGATATAGAAAAAAGATCTTTCATCCACTGGTTCACTCCCCAAATGGCAATGGCCAGAGAAGAGCCAATCCAAAGCTAGGAGCCAGGGTGCAGGGTGCAGGGTGCCAAGGCTTTGGGGCCATCCTCTGCTGTTCTCCCAGGCCACAAGCAGGGAGCTGGAAGGGAAGTGGAGCAGTCAGGACATGAACCGGTGCCCATATGGGATCCTGGCGCTTAAAGGGAAAGAATGAACCAGTTGAGTCATTGCACCAATGCCCCCTCTCCTCAGGCATTCATTCTTGGTGGGTCTTGCTCTCAGGTGGGAATAAGATGCAGAGACGGTGGTAGACAGATTAGGTTGGTTTTTTGAAATGCAGTGTAAGAGTCCTTGGTGGGAGATGATGTATTTTTATCTGTTTGCTATCTGGAGGGAGAGCAAAAAATGCAAGTTTCTGTCGTTGCTCCTGACCCCGTGTAGAGAGGGCACCGGGCACAGTGATGTGGGGCAGATGGGGGAGAGCCTCAGCTTTCAGCCTGCGTGATGGCTCGTGATGGAAGCAGTCACCTGTTCCTGAGCTAGTTCATCATGCGGGGCAGGAACAGAAGCCCAGGGAGGCTGGGAAGAGATCATAAAGACATTATGGTGGAAAACTTGGGACCCTGCACCCATGTGGGGGAGACCCAGAAAGTCCTGACTCCTTGTGTCTCTCCTTGCTCTGTGTAGGTCTGTCTGTCTTTCCACACTTGATCTTAGCCAAAAGGCCGAGAAGTGATAGGTCTGCCTTTCCGATGAAAACGTTTCAAAATAAATAAATACATGTTTTTACAAGCGGGCATTTATGTGGTTCCAGAAAATAAGCCACTCTGCATTACTGAAGTTTCATGACAAAGTCACCAGGCCCCAGATTACCAGCCTCAGGGTCTGCCTTCCCTCAGCGGCTCATCCATGCCACCTGCCTCCCGGTTTTCTACCCTGGACCCCCTGTCGGCTTCTCCCCCCCACTCCCCTCCCCTCCCCTTCCCTCCTCTCCCCCGCCACCAAGCTCCTCCCTGCACCCCGGAGCATCCTCCGGGAGCCGCAGGTACCGACCTCCGCGCATCCCTGCCCCGTTTGGGGCTTCAGATGCCCCATCTGAGAAACGCGGACTTGCACCGGGGCTGCACTCTCCCGTCCCTCAACTCCCGCCCCGGTCCCCGGAACGCAGGAAAGCCGCGGCGTGTGTGTGCTCCGGGCTTCGGACACACCGACTTTGCACCCCGCCGTGCGCGGACTCGAACCTACGTCGCAGGCCCCGCCCCACCCCCGAGCGCCTTCCTCGCCGGGCGGGGAGTCTCGCGAGAAGCCCGTCCCGACCGGGGGAGGAGTTGCTCGGCTTTTCCTCCGTTTCCGTCGCGGCTGAGTCGCGCATTCCCGAGCTAGTGCTTCCGGGCCCGCCGGCCGGGGAGGCGTCCGTGGCGGCGCGAACGCAGCCCAAGCCCCGAGTGAGTAGGGCGGCCGGCCTGCGCCCGATCGTCCTCCTGCGGTCTCCTCCTCCTGGTCCTCGGGCGGCTCAGCGAGCGGCCCCGGGGACTTGGGGCCTCCCAGCTCGCTGCGTCAGCGGCCGGCCAGGTCCACTACCCCGGTGCAGGGCTCGGTCGCGGGCCGGTGGTCACTCTCCTTCCACCCCACTGCCCCTGCCCGTCCGCAGGCCAGGACACCATGGCCGTGTTCCGCTCGGGCCTCCTGGTGCTCACCACGCCGCTGAGCTCGCTGGCCTCGCGCCTGGGGCCCATCCTGACCTCGGCCTCCCGGCTGGTAAATCACACCCTCTATGTCCACCTGCAGCCGGGCCTGAGCCTCGAGGGCCCGGCGCAGCCCCGGTCCAGCCCCGTGCAGGCCACCTTTGAGGTCCTCGATTTCCTGTCGCACCTCTACACCGGCGCCGACGTCCACCGGCACCTGGACGTGAGGATCCTGCTGACCAACATCCACACCAAGAGCACCCTCCTCCCGCCCCTGCCCAGCGCCGTCCAGAATCTGGCCCACCCGCCAGAAGTGGTGCTGACCGACTTCCAGACCCTCGACGGAAGCCAATACAACCCGGTCAAGCAGCAGCTGGAACGTTACGCCACCAGCTGCTACAGCTGCTGTCCGCAGCTCACGTCCGTGCTGCTGTCCCCCGACTACGGCGCGGGGGAGCTGCCGGCCCGGCCCCTGGATGTCCTCCCTTCCACCATCAGACCTGCCTCCCCCGTGGCCAGGTCACCCAAGCAGCCCGTGCGCGGCTACCACCGCGGGGCCGTGGGGGGCACCTTTGACCGTTTGCACAATGCCCACAAGGTGTTGCTCAGTGTCGCCTGCGTCCTGGCCCAGGAGCAGCTTGTGGTGGGAGTAGCGGATAAAGACCTGTTGAAGAGTGAGTGAGAGGGACCCTGGATGAAGTCAGTAAAGTGTCACCTCCCTCCCCGACCCCCTTCTCATACCAAGGTTCGGGAAGGGCAGAGCCCTCCCTGGTCACCTCCCTGTGTCCTGGTGCCTGACACCTGGGCTATGCTGTGGAATTGGGTTCAATGAGTAAATGCAGCTTTCTCAGCTTGCGCAGACCGGAACCCCCCAGTGTCTGCACTGTACCCACTTGTAGGAGAGTGAGCTCTATGTAGGCAGCGTGCCCAGGACAGCAAGTGGGCACTTGAGCAGGACTCTGGCCTTTGGAACAATCCCTGGGCCGCTCTCCCCGCCGACCCTCCAGGCGCCCCCCTGTGGTGGTTCTGTCTCTGTGCAGCCGCCAACCAGCACCTTCTGGCCACTGCCAAAGGCCTTCCCCGTGGCGCCCCTTCTTCCTGCCCCCCTCCCGTGGAGGCACAGTGCTCCCACTGCTGTACCCCCCACGCTCGGACCCCCTCAGCAAGAAGTCCTGATCTCTTGGGCTCCCTCTGCAGGCAAGTTGCTCCCCGAGCTGCTCCAGCCCTACACTGAACGTGTGGACCACCTGAGTGAGTTCCTGGTGGACGTCAAACCCTCCTTGACTTTTGATATCACCCCCCTGCTGGACCCCTATGGGCCCGCGGGCTCTGACCCTGGCCTGGAGTTCCTGGTGGTCAGCGAGGAGACCCATCGCGGGGGGATGGCCGTCAACCGCTTCCGCGTCGAGAATGTAACCCCAGAGGGAGATGGGCAGAGGGAGTGGACGGGGAGGAGGAAGGCCGCCAGGGCCCCAGGGGAGGGAAAGTCTGGGCTCAGGAGGCAGGCAGATGCCAGGAAGTACTGGCACTGCTGGCCCACGGAGTTGGAACCCGGGACAGGTCAGGGGAGCAAGGGGGCTGCGTTGGGTGTCCAGCTTTGGCCTTCCTCCCACTGGCACCTTCTGTCTTCCCATTCTCCCTGCTGCCCTACAGGGCCTGAAGGAACTGGCCTTGTACCAGATCCAGCTGCTGAAGGACCCACGCCACCAAGAAAATGAAGAGGACAAAGTTAGCTCCTCCAGCCTCCGCCAGCGAATGCTGGGAAACCTGCTCCGGCCTCCCAACGTAAGGCTTCCCTCGACCCGGGTGGGAGGGAGCTGTGGAGCATGGGGGGCGGCTGGGACCCCTGAGCCTGAGGACTCCCTTTCACCCACTCCCAGGAGCGGCCAGACCTGCCCTCGCAGCTTTATGTACTAGGGCTGACTGGCATCAGCGGCTCTGGAAAGAGCTCTATCGCCAAACGCCTCAAGGGCCTGGGGGCCTTCGTCATCGACAGCGACCAGCTCGGCCATCGCGCCTACGCGCCCGGGGGCCCTGCCTACCAGCCGGTGGTGGAAGCCTTTGGAACAGGTAACCCGTGGTGCCTGGGGAGGCTGCAGGTGACCTGGCCGCCCCGCTCAGCCCCCGCCTCTGCCATCCAGATATCCTGCACAAGGATGGCATCATCAATAGGAAGGTCCTGGGCAGCCGGGTGTTTGGGAACAAGGTAACTGCCCACTCCCCGGCCCAGGCCCCCAGGCCCCTCAGCCACCCTGATCCTCTGGGCTCTGATCTGGCCGGGGATGGCCCAACTTCCATGCGTCTCTTCCCACTCCTGCCTGACCTCTGGTCTGCCTGCCTCCTTCCCCGTCTGCAGAAGCAGCTGAAGGTGCTCACGGACATCATGTGGCCAGTTATTGCAAAGCTAACCCGAGAGGAGATGGAGGTGGCCGTGGCGGAGGGTGAGTGGGACATGAAGGCTGCCCCTGTTCCAGCCTGCCTGTGTGTCCTCAGCCATGTGGCTGGTTGCAAGTGCTGCTGGCAGTAACCGAGGTGTCCCCGCAGGCAAGCGTGTGTGCGTGATTGATGCCGCCGTGCTGCTGGAAGCCGGCTGGCAGAACATGGTGCATGAGGTGTGGACCGTGGTCATCCCGGAGACTGAGGTAGCTTAAGCCCAATGCCTGCTGCCCACCGCGGGCCCCCACCGGCGGGAGCCTGCAGAACTGGTGGCTGAGCCTGGACTCGTGGTCTGCCCAGGCTGTCCGGCGTATCGTGGAGCGGGACGGCCTGAGTGAGGCTGCAGCCCAAAGCCGGCTGCAGAGCCAGATGAGCGGGCAGCAGCTTGTGGACCAGAGTCACGTGGTGCTGAGCACGTTGTGGGAGCCACAGGTCACCCAGCGCCAGGTCAGGGCCCAGGGCAGGGCCGGGTAGGGGCCAGGGTGTGGGGACATCCTAGTAGGTGCCTGGCTGACCCCAGCCTCTCTTCCTCCCCACGTCTGGGACTATGTGAAGGTGGAGAAGGCCTGGGACCTCCTGCAGAAGCGCATGCCCCAGGCTCAGGCCTAGAGCCCAGGGCAGACTGCTGACGGTGACCCAGTGGTGAGCAGAAACGAGGACCTTGATGCTGGGCCTGGGTCGAGCCTGGGGACTCCATGCTAAGCTGTGCAGGACGCAGCCGGCCTGGTGGTCCAGGCAGCCCACTCAGCATGCTGGAATTTGATCAGCAGTGAGGATGGGGCTCCTGAAGGAGACCCTTCTTGGGGTTCCACCCCAAGTCTTGCCCACAGGTGTCTGACACCAGGGCTCATGGGTCCAGGAAGAACACTAGAACGTGTAACAGAATTAAACGTTCATGTTTCTGATTGTTGCTGCAGTGTGCTGTCTGCTTGCATCACTGGAGTCCTGGGGCCTGGAGCTCGGGGGCTGCAGCTGCCCAGACCCAGATCAACTTTGGCTGTGGTGCTTCCTTTCTTGGCCCTGGGCAGGGTGGCACTGGGGCCTGTGCACTCGTGGGGTCAGATGATGTGACAAGCGGGACTCTGTGCCACGGGCCAGTGCGCGTGTGCAGATCATCTGTCGCCGTATTCAGAGGAGCCATTGGAATGGCGCCGTTTTAGAGTATCAGATGCTCAAGTCGCCATCATCCCGGTGCCGAGCACGGGGAGGACAGGGAGCCGCGGAGACCCCTGCCCCAACCCCCGGGCTACACCGAGCGCCCGGCTCGGCCGGCTCCGGCTCCCGGTCACAGCCTCCGAGCCGCGCGTGCGCAGCGGGCAGGTCCCGCCCCCCGCAGCCGGGCACGGATTGGCGGAGGGGCTCACGTGGGCACGCCGCCCTCGACCTCGCAGCGGGGGCCCGCCCGCTGGCTGGTTTCCGGTTCGGTGGGTCCAGGATGACAGAGCCGGGCGCCTCTCCGGAGGACCCCTGGGTCAAGGCAAGCCCCGTGGGCGCGCACGCCGGCGAGGGGAGGGCGGGCCGGGTTCGTGCACGTAAGGGGTCCGGAAGACGAGGGGCTGCCCTCCTGTCCCCCAAGTCCCCCCTGGTGTCCGGGCCCCGGGGCTGCAGAGAAGACCAGGTGGGAGACCTGCGAGGCGGGGGAGCGGGCGGGGAGGCGGGCCCGGCGGGTGTGGGTCGGCGGCCGCCGCGATTGACGCTTCTCGCGGCTCTGTGCGCAGGTGGAGTACGCCTACAGCGAGAACGTGGACTCCGGTGAGTGCTCCCCTTGGCCTTGACAGCCACACCTGAGCACAGTCCACCGTCCCCGAGCCGGCTTCCCGGCTGCAGAGAAGCGAGGGAGGAGCCGCGGGCCGGAAGCGACCGAGGGTGACCCCTAATTCCCTGGGCCCCCTGCGTAGTGAAATGATGGAACTGCGGGCACCTGGCCACTCTTCCCCACCCCGCAGTGTCTCTCTGCGAGCCAGAGGTCCCACGGGGCAGTGCAGACACCGGAGGCAGAGCAGTGTGGCACGGGATAGCAGAGGAAGGCCCAGTGTCCTGTGGCTGGAGCCGAGAGCCTGTGGCTGGGGCCTGGCATTGCGCTTCCCCCCTACAACTCCCGCAGAGTAACTGGGGAGTCTCTCTTGCAGGGCTTTTTGTAGACAACGCCAGCAAGGGCAGTGTAGTGTCCAGAGCTAACAGCATCGGGTCCACCAGTGCCTCTTCTGTTCCCAACACAGGTAGGCAGCAGTACCCGCCTTCCTGACCAGGAGGGAGGGAGGCCGACAGGCCCTGGTTTTAGTGTCTGCCCACGAGGGGGTGCTGGAGTTCAGGGGCCAGACCCAGGACACACTACCTGTAGCATCTGAGGTTCCTTGTAGCTGGACGGACCAAGGATCACAGGGCCCTGGGGTGACCTCTTGCTGTCCCCAAATGCATTACAGATGACGAGGACAGCGACTACCAGCAGGAGTCTTACAAGGAGTCCTACAAGGACCGGCGGCGGCGAGCACACACGCAGGCTGAGCAGAAGCGGAGGGACGCCATCAAGGTAACGGGAGGCCTGGGTAGCTTCGGAGTCTGCCCCACCCTCTGCCCTTGAGGCCAGCTTGCCTAGCCGTGGGCACAAAGGCTCCTGACCCCGGGCACTGAGCGTGCTGTTGGAGTGTCATGGAAGGGCTGAAGGCGCCATTTCCCCACTGTCCCCACAGAGAGGCTATGATGACCTTCAAACCATCGTCCCCACCTGCCAGCAGCAGGATTTCTCCATCGGCTCCCAGAAGCTCAGCAAAGCCATCGTTCTGCAGAAGAGTAAAGCTGGGGCTGGGGGAGCCGGGGGAGCTTGGAGCTGAGAGGCGGTCTGGGCTCTGCACCCTGCCCCCTTGGCCTCAGTGAACTGATGGGGGCATGGAGGAGGGGTGCCAGCCTTAATCCTATTCCCTTCTCACCCCCCACCCAGCCATCGACTACATCCAGTTTTTGCACAAAGAGAAGAAAAAGCAGGAAGAGGAGGTGTCCACGCTCCGCAAGGACGTCACAGCCCTAAAAATCATGAAAGTGTAAGAGGGGGTACTAAGCGTACTAAGCTGGGGGAGCCAGCCAGAGCTCCAGAGGGGACTGAGAGCCAGATCCGGGCCTGTCCTGCTGGTTTTCACACGCCACCTCAGACAACAGCCACTTCCTGAGGTGGCAACTTAATGGCCCAAACACAGCGGATGCCTGTGAAATTGATGCCGAGAAGGTTGAAGGGGTCACCATTTCTGACCTGGAAGCCATGTCTAGCTGGCATGGCTCACACGTGGGTGGGTTCCCCTGGCCGGGGTGTGCTGTTGCCCCTCAGCCCTGACCTGCTTGCTCCCAGGAACTATGAGCAGATTGTGAAGGCGCACCAGGACAACCCCCATGAGGGCAAGGACCAGGTCTCAGACCAGGTCAAGTTCAATGTGTTTCAAGGCATCATGGACTCGCTGTTCCAGTCCTTCAATGCCTCCATCTCAGTGGCCAGCTTCCAGGAGCTGTCGGCCTGTGTCTTCAGCTGGATCGAGGAGCACTGCAAGCCGCAGGTACAGAGCCCAGGGCCAGTGAGGGGCCTGAGACACGGGGCCGAGGCAGCTACTTGTAAGCTTTAAAAAGTGATTGGGAAGGTAGTGGTAGTGTCAGGCTGAAGTCAGGAGCCCAAAGCTCCAACCTCATCTCCCGCCTGCGTGGTGGGGGAAGACAGGAAGCTGCATTGGAAGTGGAGCAGCTGGGACTTGAACCCACACTCCAGGGTGAGAATGCAGGTGTTGCTCAAATGCCAGCTTCACTTGCTGTGCTTCATCATTTGTTCCATATCAGATTCTTTAAAAGATTTATATACTTACTAATTTATTGGAAAGATTTACAGAGAGAAAGGAAGACAGAAGGATCTTCCATCAGCTGGCTCACTCCCCAGGCAGCTGCAACAGCCGGGCTGAGCCGATCCAAAACCAGGAATTTCCTCTGGGTCTCCCACATGGGTGCAGGGTCCCAAGGCTTTGGGCCATCCTCAACTGTTTTCCCAGGCCACAGGGAGGGAGCTGAATGGGAAGTAGAGCAGCTGGGACGCGAACCCGTGTCCATATGGGATCCTGGTACGTGCAAGGCGAGGACTTTAGCCACTAGGCTGCTGTGCTGGGTCCCAGATTTTGGCTTCTTGAGTGTTTTCTGTTTCCAGCTTCTGCTGCTTTGCTCTGGCCCACATTTCCATGGGGGCTTCATCTGGCAAGCAGGATGCCAGGCCTCACTCCCAGCTTTGGTGCTGCAGGTGGTTCCACTCCCCACCCAGCTGCCTGAGGTCACCAGCCCTAGGGCTGCTGGGACATTTCTAGGGCACGGCTTCCTTTCTCAGCTTTTCCTAAGGCTGCAGCTTGTATCAGAGATTCCTGTTTCCCAATATTTCTACTGTGACTTTGACCATGATACAAGGTTGATTTTACACAGCACTCCAGTCCCCAAGCGCAGGGCGGGCCAGGCAGGCAGGCTTCCTGATTCAACCTGGCCTCCACTCAGCACCGTCTTCTCCCTCCACTGCCCTGCCAGACCCTGCGTGAGATCGTGATTGGCGTCCTGCACCAGCTGAAAAACCAGCTGTACTGATGGTCTTGGGAGCCCCTGGGCCTTCAAGCCTGGACTGTGACACTTCACACGGGTCAGCTGCCTCCTACTTGCTGTCTGGTTTCCCCAGTCCCATTCCATCTTCTGTGGGGCTGGGCTGTGTGTTTTGTCAAAGCTCCTGATTAATTTATTATAGTGACCATAAAACCTGAACCTACCTGGTCTCCCGTCCCCTACCCCCGTGAAGTCCTTGGTGGGAGGTCTGCTCCAGGCTCCTGGAGGGCACTGGCCTTGGACCTGTGCTTGTGGTTGCACCTGCTGGGTCTTTGATCTTGGGTGATGCCTGGCCGTTCTGACAGCTGCTGGGAGCAGTCAGTGGAGACCCTCCCCCAGGCACTGGGGTGAGAGCTGGGGTTCCTGGGCGTCTCCCTTTGCTCCCTGCCCTGCCCTGCCCTGGGTGGGAGAAATGGCCTGTGTGTGCTGCTACTTCTGCTTTCCTGTCCCCACACTTCATGCAAAGGCAGATGTGACACAGCACTATGTATCTGAGATGTTTTATTTTTCTAAACACCAGTTTTCTTAAAGCTATCACTTTGGAAAATTAACTAGATCTTAAAACTAACCCAAACTTTTTATTTTTTAAAGGAGGATGAGGGAGGTTCTTAACTCCAAGATCTCGTTTACTTTAAATGTCTGTTTTTATCTACTCAAGATGCACAGTAACAGAGATCTTCCATCTGCTCGTTCCCTCCCCAAATGCTGACAATAGCCAAGACTGGGTCTGGGTGAAGCCAGAAGCCCAGATCCACCTAGCTCTCCCATGTGAGTGGCAGATGAGCCACACTCTGCTGCCTCCAGGATGAATTAACAGGAAACTGGATGGCACTAGAACTGCTGGGACTCAAACCAGCACTCGAACATGGGATATGGGTGTCTGAAGTCACTGTGCCACCTTGCCCACCATCACATGCCCCCAGCCTTATCTAGGACCTGTCTCCCAGGCTTACCTGCAACCCCCAGGACTCTGATGGGTGAAAGCCCTGGGCTCCCAGATGCCATGTGTGTGACAGGCTCCCTTCCCTGCCCTATCCCCCAGGTTCCCTGCAGAGCCGCCCTCAGGTTTGTTATCAGGGAGGGCATGACTATCCAGAGGCAATACAATATTTTTATAACAGATTATATTACAATAAATACTGCCAAATGCTTTCCTTTAGCATGGTTGCACCTAATGTGTCAAGCTTGTCGCTGCAGTGTGGACAGTGGGCTTGACTTCCACCCTCAGCCCATCCCTGTCCACCCAACACATGGTCTGTGCCTTCCCACCACTCGGCTCACAGGAGGAAGCAGCAGGAACAGCTACAGCAACAGGGCCGCGCTGATGAGGTGGCCCGTCCAGCATGGCTCGCGCTCCTCCGTCAGGCCTGCGAGAAGACCCTCAGGGGTCTGGGAGCTTGACATTATGATCTTCATCTGTCTCTATCCCAACTTCCTCCTGTGAGGCAGGGAGACAGGAATGAGCTGTCCCCGAGAGGAGCCAGCAGGGAAGAGAGAGCAAGTGTCACTTACAAAGAACTGCTTCTTGCTCTTGGGGTATCCTTCGAGGATCGCATCAGACAGCTCTGTGGCCTGAAAAGAAGCAAGACCACACCCCATTTCGGGGGGGGGGGGCGGTCCATGACCATAGACAGCAGCCAGTTCAGACACACGAGAGCCTGCCTTGGGAATCCCACGTACTCACCATCCTCTTCCGCTTCCTCCACTCCTTGCAGTACTTCTCTCTCTCCTTGTACACCTGGGGGAGCAACAGGCTACTCTTAAGTCCTTGGCCAGTGGCAGCCCACTGGGTCACGGCCCTCCCGGCTCACCTGCTCCTTCTCCTGAGGAGTCACGTGGTTGGTGGCTGCTCGGATGTTCTCAAGTCTCTCCCTGTAGCCTGCACATTCCTCCCTCAACTCCTGGATCTCCTTCTGCATCTCCGGAGTGGTCAGGGCACTCGTCAGGTCCTTTAGCTCTGAAAACACCCCAGTGGGGTCACTGCCCGAGGAGGGGGCTTGCCCCCCACCAGGTGTGCTTCCTGAGCTGTCTCCTGTCATGCTCCTTGCTCTGTCCACAGATTCCCTTCTGAGGACAGGGCTCTCACAACGAAGCATCTTCCCTATATCTTCCTATATCCGGAAGTGGTGGGGGGTGTGGACCAGCAGACCTGGGAGCAGCCAGTTAAGACAAGCTCATGTAAAGGGGGACGTGGCACACGTACCCATGTGGCAGGGAAGGCACATGTGTGTGCTGCTTGCAGGACATGGAAGCCATTAGTTATCAGATGTGTCATGCAGTGCCCAAGGGGGCAGCAGAGGGGTCTTTGCTGTAGCGAACCCCTCACTGAGTACTAATTCCTGACCTGCACAAGGAACCTGACACTGTGGCATCCTGCAGGGCTGACCCAGGCCTACCAGCCTCCATGTGGCGGCAGCTCTGCTGCAAGCTCTGCACCTTGGTGGTCAGGGCCACGATCTGGGCATCCAGGCCTTGGAGGTCAGCGTCGCTCACTGCATCAAACTGGGCCTGCCAGAGACAAGAGCGAGCACAGCTGCATGATGTGAGGACAAAGATGGGAACGCAGCTGGGAAAAAAAGCCTCCTGCAAACCCTTAAGTGGGGGGCCCTGTGGAGACCATGGAGGTCACTTTGGAGAAAAATCAATGGGTACTGGTCCCAATAAAAGATTTAAAAAGAAATGTGGAACCTGATGCCAGTCCCCAGGCACTGCCAAGCTGGCAGGACGCTCAGCTGTACAGAAATACCCTGGCAGCTGGTGCTACAGCCCTCACCTGGTTGGAGATAGACAGTAACATGGGCAGCCCTGCGTGCAGGGCTCCAGAACAGGAAGCCTGCCAGTGGCAGGGCCTGGTGGGAGCTCACTGAATAAGGGGCTCCAGCACAAGTCTGCGGGCTGCTCCAGGTGACCCTGCCAGGGACCAGTGAGGGTCCTGCAGGCAGTTTGGGACCTTAGGTTTGGGCAAGGTGAACCTTTGGTGCAGAGGCTAGCCAACTGGGTTAGCCAGCTCGCGGCTGCCAAAGGCAAGTGTTGGAACAAGCCAGGCCATTTGTTACAGTCCCATCACAGCAGGACGGAGGAATGGAGACAGATCAGGCACACCCCGCCCCCCAGAAGTCAACAGAGCAGTCACACTGAGTGGGGGAGTGAGCCCTGCTTGGAGCTTGGGGCAAACAGATAATGTCTGCCGCTGTCAGACACCCAGGGGTGCTGAGTGGACGAATGACAATGAATATGAGACAGAAGCTCCTGGAGGAGTTTCAGGCCCGACCAAGGTAACCAGCCCCAGCTGGTGTTGGAAGGGCTAATAAGGGCCTGCAAGAGCAGCAGGTGGCTCGAGTACTGGGAAGGCTGCCTGGGCAGGTGACGGCCTAGGCCAATCCTAAATGGTAATTGCAGGCTGGGCAGAGGCCGAAGGGACCCAAACTCCAAGCGAGGCGCAAAGGGTCGGGGGCACCACCACCTCTGGGCCGTCTGGCTTTCAGGGACACACGGGCCGGTGAACCAGGGTCCCTCAGGCCCATCTCCGGGTGGTCCATTTTCTATCCCGTGGACTGCCTAGCCCTGTGTGAGTCACAAGGAAGAAAAGTGAAGGCGCACGCCTGCATTTAGACCCTGTGATTGTCAGAGGCCAGCCTGCACGACTTGAGTTAAAGACGCCCCCTTGGAACTAGCCTGCCACAGACCACTTTCCTGGGGGGCTCGACGCTCGCACACGAAGCCGGTCATCCGTGCGGGTCGTCCTCACCTGATCAGCGAAATAGATCTTCTGCTTGCCGTACATCTTCTCTTTGATCTTGCCTTGCTGGGCCAGCTGCTCCAGCGCCTTCACTACGGCCTGGAAGCGGGAGAGGGGAGGAGGGGCCGCCGGTGGCATCTCGGGCCGGGGCGGCGGCAGGACCCCGCCCTGACCCACGGGGAGGGGGCTCCGAGAAAGGGTCCTCACCGTCTTGCCCAGTCCATGTTCCCGTTGCAGGTTCCCGAACACGTCCTGGGCGCTGTAAGGCCGGTTCTGCTCCTGCAGGTACTTCAGGAGGATGGCGGGGGCTGCGGGGGGCGCCGACGCCGGGCGGGGCGTCAGCCGGCCTCCAACTCCTCCTTCGCGGCCTCCCAGGCCTCCCGCGGGACCCCATCTCCCCGTTACCTCCCGCCGCCGCCTCGGCTCGGCCTTTACTCATGGCTTCCCGCCGCCACAACCGAAAACCGGACGTGCTGGTTGCTCGGGGCGACGCTCCTTCCGGGGGCGAGGTCGCGAGGGAGAGCCTCGAGCGGTGATTGGCTCAAGGGCTTCGCGGTCCCGGCCAGACGCTGTCGTCCGCCTCGGCCCCTCGCCCCTCGCGCCCCGGGTTCCGCGCGCCCCTTGGATCCGGCGGCCAAGGACGCCTTCGCGCTTCCAGAGCCAGTTGCAGCCGCCGCCGAGCACTGGTGCGCCTGGCTAGGCCGAGGACGGGAACCAACCTCAGGAACAGCCTCCCTGGCCGGGGCCTCCCACCAGCTCTGGGGCTCAAGTTCGGTACCCAGCTGCTCTTCGGGCAGTTATCGTATAGGAACAACCGGAGGGCGAGCCCGAACCCCGTTACCGAGATTCGCTCACAGGGGGCGCTCCCCAACCGCTGTGGTTGGTTCACCCAGGAAAAATCGGGTGGAAGGGGCCGTTTTTTTCAGCCACAAAGCTTGCACAAGTTTCTCGTTAGCCCAATGCCGCGGCAACACCTGACAGGTGCTTTCCACTCCTGACCACACTGGCCAACAGGCCAGTGCCCGAAATAAGCATTTCTAGTTTCTGAGGTCATCTGAAGGCCAGAGAGCAGCTGTCCTTGGCAGCTCAAAGAATCCCGCGGAGGAGCCTGGTACTCCCTGACCTTTGGAAACCCGGGCTGTCTTCCATATTTAGGAGGCAATCCCGAGAAGTAGAGAGTACAGAACTAGGGCTTGGCGCGGTAGCCTAGCTGCTAAAGTCCTTGCCTTGAACGTTCCACTTCCCATCCAGCTCCCTGCTTGTGGCCTAGGAAGGCAGTCGACTGCGGAGGCGGGGAGGCACTGCGGGCTCAAGGCCAGGTGAGTGCCAACCACACTCTGGGTGCCCCAGGAGGGGGCGAGGCCTCATACCGTGGCTCTGGCCATCACAAAGGGAACCCTGGGCCTGACTTCTTCTGAGGAGACTGTCAGCGTGACAGATTCATCAGAACTTAGAACAGACAAGATCTATCGAGGTAAGACATCAGTTCAGCATCAGTCTCTTAAAGATTGTTCTCATACAAGATTTATTTCCCAGCACCCACCCCCCACACTCCCAATTCACAGTGGAGGACGAAGGAGATTCAGAGCAGGATCCCCCCAGGTACAAGACACCATTCAAAGGTTTTGCTCTCTTTCCTTCCCTCCCTCTTGCCAACTCCCACGGCCTGAAGCTGCACACACTCATGCAAACACACAATTCCACTCCTTCCCCACCTCCCATCCTCCCCACACCAGAACTCACGGAGGAGCCGTCCAGGTGTCCAGAGCCGTCTAAGCAGCCTCCCCCTAACCTCACACAAAGGTGAGTGACTGCACAGCGGACTCCGGGCTCCTCCCCTCGCACTGTCACCAGCTCCACCCGGTCCACTAACCACGGGCAAACACGGCTGCACACTGCACGTGAAAATGAGCTCTGTCCAACATCCCTCACCCAAGTAGGGGGGTGTCAAGGGGGAGTGGTCCCTGAGGATTAGCAAAGGATTCATGTAGAGGCCAAGAGGGAAGTAGGGTTTGGCTTGAGCTGACTGGCACAGGTTTAGTGCCAATCACCCTTTTTGGGTTTGTCTTACATGATTTCACAGGGGAGTAGGGGGACTGCAGAATGAGTGGCCCTCAGAGTGGTCCCTGCTGGTTACAGCTTGCTGATTGGGCCCATCCATCAAGGGGGCCCTGCCACGCTGGGAAGCAGCTGAAAAGCAGGGAAGGAGCTGGTGCAAGAGGAGCTGGTGGCCCCGGGGAGGAGGGCCGGGGAGCCGCTCGTAAAGTGCTACTTTGCCATCCCCCAGGGGGTTACTGCTTCTCCAAAGGAGGAGCAGGGCAGCGCGAGGACCAGACGTAGGTATGGTATTGCTTTGCTCACTGCTCAGGCTGTGATGGTCCAACACAGCCAGGACTTAGCAGCACCAAAGACAACCACACAGCTCCAAAAGATTCCATGAGACCTTGGGATGCTCACGGCCCCTCCCAGCCAGCTGCCGCCCCCACCTGCAGGGCCTGGGCTGGTGTGGAAGAGGCTCATCCCTGCATCATATCCACATCACTTCAACCTCACAGCAGTACTCTGGAGCCCTGGGCTGGGCCGGGCCGTGGGGAGCAGGTCTGCGCATCAGAACCAAAGGACAAGCTCACTTGAAAAAACCAAACTGTTTCAATAAAAGATGATGACCCCGTCTGCCTGGCTGCTGTCCGTCTTTGGGGCTGCGGGGAGCAGAGACAGGAGGAAGGAAGGGATGGACTTGTCTATCACGAGGGTCTCAGAGGACCCGAGCCTAAGAGCAAACAGCAGCACCTCCTTGGAGGGGAAGCAATGTCCCTGACTACTCTGTCCCCAAAGTACCAGCGTGATGGATGGAAGCCTCCCTGGGGGAAGCGGCACACTTTTACTTCAGTGACTGAGCACAAAAATGAGGGTGCAGCCGGGGACGGGGGAGTGAGTGTCCCCCACTAAGGCAGCCTCTGTGTGTCAGCCATGCCCCCCAGCATATGTGTGTCATTCAGGGCATGGGACCTGTACTCTGTCTTTGCCCAGTCACCCTAAGTGGGATGAGGGAAAAAAAACCTAAACCACAGTGATCCCCAAAAGCAGTCCTGTCTCAATGGCTCCTAGAACTTGCAGGGTCCATCTGACTCAGCTCTGACTGGTCCAGAAGTTCAAAGTCATCTCCCTCAGCATCAGTGTCCAGGTCTGAACTGGGAGCCTGGAGGAGACCTCTTGCTGCTCTCCGGGTTGGGGGGCCAGCCGGGCCTGGCTGGGAGGCCCCAGACAAGGCCAGCTGGATCATGCCCTGTGAGACCAGGCTGGCGAGGCTGCTGGTGAGCCTGGAGCCTGCAGGCAAAGCACCAAGCAGCATGGCTTCATCGCGGTGGGCAGTGGGCGCCTGGGGCTCCTCGGCACCTGCTGGTACGCGGGATAAGAGACTGGGCATCCCGATGCTGGTGTCATCCTCGTCATCCAGGACGGCAGGATCTACGTTGATGGAAGGGAAGTCGGGAAGGTCTCTGGCGAAGGATTCCTCCGGATCACTGTGCCCATCGAGGTCTGGGGAACACAACGGTGCCTGAGCCACCACTGCGCTCAGCCCAGGCATTCCACACACACGCCTGGTAACACACACACACACACACACACACACACACACACACACACACACACACACACACACACACACACACACACACACACACACACACACGTGTCTGAGCCATCACAGTGCTCAGCCCCAGTGCAATTCCCTACCCCCATCCCCCACTAACCCCACATGACTATTTTTCCCTCCATGGATTCCAGAATAAAGCAAAACCCACAGGGATGGCTAGCTTTTCCTCTCCACTTAGGGACTAAGGGCTTCAAAAAGGGCTGGTGCCTTGTTGGCCCCTTAGTGGACAGCTCAGGACACGGGAAGGTGGTAGCATCAGTGTCCCCTCTGTCCATGGACACCTCGAAGCAGCAGTCAGAGCCCTCACCTTCGGAGCCTTCTGTGAGCGGTGTTTGGCCCCTTGAGAGGTTGAATGTGCCATTGTCTGTACACGAGACCTCAGCGTCCGAGTGCTCGGAGTCGGTGATGGCCAATTCCCTGGCAACAGCAGAATCATCCAGCTTAGGGGAAGAGAAGAGCGACACGCCTGAGGAGAGGATGTCGCCGGGACCCGGGAGCAGCCCGCAGTGACAGCCTTCACTCACAAGCTGGCCCTGGGCACCACCCAGGGACCCAGCTCTACCAGGAGCAGACAGAAATCTTGGTCTCCATTTTTACCACGCCACTGATTCAGAACATATTTCCCACAGGTGAGCAGCAAGACACACTGCCCAGACCTCAGGGTGGGTTAGCCATTCAAACAATGACCACATCTGGGGCAAGAAGGCTGCCTTCGGCTACACCAGCATCCCATTTGAGTGCTGGTTGAGTCCCAGCTGCCCCACTTCTGATCTGGCCTGTTAATGTGCCTGGGAAAGTGGCAAAGGATGGCCCAGGTACTCAGGCTTCTGCCACCGACATGGAAGACCCGGATGGCATTCCTGGCCCCTCTCTTTGGCCTGGCCCGGTCCCGAGCACTGCAGTCATCTGGGGGAGTGAACTAGCAGACAGCCCCTCCTCTAACTCTTGCCTTTTAAATAAATAAAAGTTAACACAAACACAGCTTCAAGAGTTTTTCCATGGCAGTGAAAGGGGACGTGGATGAAGGAGTGCTGGTTACCCAGGCTGCAGAGACCTAGCAAGCTCCTCCCCTCACCAGTGCTCCTGGGAGCAAGGGTTGTCCAGGGAACTGCCTGTGAACTTCCTTGAACTGCCAGAGTGGAGATGGGGGGGTCAAGACAAGCGGCCTGCAGAGCAGCTCCCACCCGCCAGGTACCTGAGGGCAGAAGGCAGCAAGCTCCTCTTCGCTGTCGCTGGGACTGTCCGTGGCCCGGTCGGGATGCAGAGCTCGGCGGCGCACTGCACGGACAGAGAAGGCGGCTTTGAGGCTTTCCTTCAAGGGACAAACCCCTCATTAAACTTCCAAGGCAGGAAGTCAGAGTAGGACAGCCAGGAGCCCCTCTGAGGGCAGCCCTAAGTTTCCATTGCACACTGAAAGACAGGATGCTGAGCCCGAGAGTCAGTGTAAGCTATAAACACAGGACCAGGCCTGCTCTCCCAGCGTCCCTCCCTGCACCAACGCCCCCACATTTCCATTGCAGTCAGATGACTAGCTGTCAGGCTTGCCAGCAATTCTCAGATGGGCTGGGAGAGAAGAAAGGTGGTAAGATTAGATCAGACTTTTGTAGGGCGAAGGTATGGCCATCCCGTGTTGGAGTGCTGGTTTGGAGTCCTGGTGGCCCCGCTTCCCATCCAGCTTCCTGACAATGCAGACAGCAGGTGATCCTCCAGTTCTTAGGTGCTACGCAGGACCCTGGATGGAGCACCTGGCTCCTGCAACCACCGTCCCAGCCCTGCCTACTGCAGGCATGTGGGGAGTGAACAAGTAGACAGAAGATTTCTGTTTCTTTCTGCCTTCCAAATAAAATGAAAACTAAGATTTTTGTCCTAACATCTGGTTTTTAAGGACTTGTACTATTCAACAGGCTGGCCCAGGGGCAGACGGACCTTGATGACCACATGCAGGGCTCTTTGAAGCCAAGGGTTAATGAAATACCCAACTTGACAAGACTAGATAGACAGAAAAGTTGAGTGCTGGATGCCCCTCAGGTCAGTATCCGAATGTCCTTGGCAGTTTTAATCACCTTTGGAAAGCAGCTTTTGGTAGACAAAAGAGGCCAGACTTAGCAGAGAGGACCTGCTCTGGCATTACTGTGTGCTTCGGCCAGAACCATGGAAAGTACTTCATGAGAGCAGCTAATAGGGGCCAGCACGATGACTCCACTGGCTAATCCTCTGCCGTGCATCACTGGCATCCCATCTGGGCACTGGTTCGTGTCCTGGCTGCTCCACTTCCCATCCAGCTCCCTCCTTGTGGCCTGGGAAAGCAGTACAGGACAGACTAAAGCCTTGGGACCATGTGGGAGACCTGAAAGAGGCTCCTGGCTTCAGATTGACTCAGCTCTGGCTGTTGTGGCCACTTGGGGAGTGAACTAGAGGATAGAAAATCTTTCTCCCTCTTTCTGTAAATCTGCCATTCCAATAAAAATAAATAAATTTTTTGAAAAAGAGCGAGCGAGTGGATTCCCTGGGACAGAGCTGGCTGTTTCCTAAACATTCCATCTTCCTGCTTTCAGGGACCTGCACGTCAGCCCTAGTGGCTTCTTCTCTGCCCCTGATTGCCCAAGTGAAACGAAGCCTCCCCGTGTGCCACTTACACTGTCTTTCTCTCTGCTTCGACATCATGTAGCCACGGACGCTGAAGTCCAGCCGCTGCAGGGCTGGCCTCAGCCGCACATACGCTCGATCCCACAGTCGGTGGTACGCAGCAAGGGGCCACATCATCATGGATACAACTGGGACCAAGACAGGGAAATGGGTATTAAAATGAAGAATGGGCTACAAAAACCAACCCCACTGTCCTGGTGCTGTTGTATCCTTAGGGCTTCAACACTTGGTGTGAAAATAGTTCTCCTTATTTCTTATGGTCATTGAAGGTGGGCGGATTTCCATGGCCTAGGCCACCCACAGGGCCTAGAACAGGGCTGCACCCAGCAAGAGTATGGTCAGAGCGAGACAGTGGTCATGTGCATGTGTCACGAGCTATAAGTATGGCTAAATGGTGGCAAAGCCTCAGAAACTACGCCACAAATCAGGTGGGATCCTGAGATACAGTGGGCACTGGCAGAGCGACTCAGTTCTTCTAGTCCCCAACCAGCACATACCACAGCAAGTGGCTCCGTTTACAAAAATGTCCAGGGTTGGGGTGGTGCCTCGGCATGAAGGACCCTCGCAGAGGAGCCCTCTGAGAGCAGCCAGGGCTCTAATTCCCTACTCGGACAGGGACATGCAGCTTGAGTACAGTTGGTTATATAGTGTTACTGAACTCCTGTCGGTTTCTAAGATCAAGCTGGAAGAAATGGACTTGAGGGGGAAAGTGGACTGAAGAAGCTGCTGGTGGTACCCGTACCCGCTCTTGGGGTCCCAGTGTGAGCCCTGACCACTCCACTTCTCATCCATCTTCCTGTGAGTGCGCCTGGGGGGCAGCAGACAACGGCCCAAGTGCTTGGGCACAGGCCCCTCGTGTATGGGACCTCCACTGGGTAGGCTCCCAGCCGTGGTCTGGCCCAGCCCTGGCTGCTGCAGGTATTTGGGAAGCAAAACAGCAGATGGTGGAAGCTCTCTCTTAACCTCTCTCTTGTGCCTTCCAAGTAGATGACACTAAATGTATTTTTAAACTTAAAAAAAAAAAAAAAAGACTATATGTGGGGAGCTATCGGTGAGAAGAAAAGTATTTTCAAGATATTAAACAGGTCATAAAACGAAAAGGTAATTTCCTAAAGAACCAAAATATAACAAAAGTCTTCCCTCTGGCCCCAGAGCTGGCTGGAACCGTAAACATTTGTGACGGAGGCGTGTGGCATACTCACGCAGCAGATAGGACAGCAGGAGCCCGGGCACATAGCGGCCCAGGACGGCCAGAAAGGTCAGGACCCCGCAGCTCAGCAGGCAGAACTGGGGGGAAGAGAGACACAGCATTAAGTTTCTGCTACGCGGTGGAGGTTGGGGTGGGGGTGAATGTGGCAATGTGACTCAGGATGGACACATCAGTGACAAAGCTGCCACTCTCCTATCCACTGTGGGAGAAAAAGGAGGACCAACCCCTTCTACTCAAACCGCTTTTACATAGCTAACCTCACAGGGCTACACCTTTCATGCCAGGAAACTGGTTCAAACAGGACTGAGCCAAAAATTCTCTCTGAAAGCAAGCGTTAGTGTTGGGTTTTTTTTTTTTTTAAGTCAAAGTGAGAAACAAAACATAATAAACAAAACAAAACCAAAAAACCCAACAGCCTACCACATGTTTTAAATGACACAGAATGCACACAAGCAAGCTTTCTTTCCCCCTCTTGGAGCAAGAACATGGCCTGAGAAAAGGGGTGAGCCCACGCCCCTTGGAGACCCGCCACACCCACGGCCCCAGTGGCTGCAAGAACCCTTCCTACATCCCCCCGGCCTCCAGGAAGGGTCCCAACCTTTTCTTCCTTCAGTGAGGACACCCCGGAAAGCAGCCATGTCGAGTTAGCATGAACTGGACTGACAGGCTGGAGAGGAAAGTGAGAAAGGGAAGAGTCTTACCTTGCCTGGGTTTTGCTTTTTGAAAAGCAAAAGGTTCCTTATGAAAATGGTCCCACTAACCCAGACTTCAGCTACATGGTGGCAGAGCTCGGGCACGCTGAGCAACCGAGGGTGCACAAAGCCCCAGCTACGGGAGAGAGAAGGGGGAGCTGTGAAAGGAAGGTGCTGAGGGTCCCCCCATCTGGCTGCCTGAGGTCTGAACGGGGCTGGGGAGTGCCTAGTCCCAGGTGCTCAGGAGGGGAAGCGTGACTCTTCCTGGCTCTCCAGGTTGAAACTTGAATTTGGGGACAGGGAGGCCAAACTTGTTCTGACAACTCCACCCTGTGAGCAAGCAGCCCAGTCCACGTGTGTAAACCTGCCACCAGCACCAGGGCCCTGGAAGTCTTTCTCCCCCTGTGCTCAGGCCACTGGCGCTCACTGGGACTCCAGTCCCGGGGGGCAAAGAACAGCACAGCCCGATGGCCACCACTGCTGCGGGGGCAGGGAGGGGGAGCAATGGTGGATGCGCCCCTCAGAGGGAAAACAAATACAGCAAATCCAAAACTAACCACAGTAGAAAAAACTCCTCAGACCAAACATAAGGGGTGGATGAACTGAGCAATGAAAGCGGGAACTGTAAGACACAAACGGAATCTTTGGCATTGGCCGATGCCAGGAACCAGTGTGTTTTCTGACCAGCATCTTTAAATAGCCAGAGGTCACAGAAAACACTAGATGACCTGGCAGAAAAACCGGGAGGTAGACGGACTCAGCCTCTCTCAGTTTTCACACTGGGGCACACTGCTGTTAAACCCTGGCATGTCAGGCGATGGGGCACTAGGACGCTGCTCTCGTGGGACTCCTATGGCTCACAGCACACCGGCCCCTCTCAGCGTGCTGCCGCCTCAACCCTAGGATTTGCTGAAATAGTTACTTGGAGCAGATCACATTCTCTGCTTACACTGTGTGTCCAGAACACGGGTTAGCAACACATAACTGGAATATTACAGGAGAGTCAATCAGAGCGACAGAGAAGGGATCAGTGGTCCGTACCTCTCATTGTCTAACGCGTCGGGTCTTGGCACTACAATATTAAAACAAACACCAGCATTAGTTGGTAGGAAAAACTAAACACAAGAATGTTAGGCTGTTGGTCTGACAGCTCATGTTTTAACAGGTTTTGGGGAGAGAAAACAGTAAAAGCCAACACAAAGGAGACACCAGGTTACACTGTCAGTGTCCGGGAGCTGGGGACAGGGGGACAACGCCTTCTCTCTGTTCGTTTCTTCATGTCGGGCGGGGAAGGGGCAAGGGGGTCTCTGTCTAATGACCTCTACTGAAAGCGGAGGTGTCTGAGAAAAACGGTGCATCCCACCCCTTGAGCGTGCCAGGCTGCCATGGCATGCTGTAAGGATGCCAATCCTATAAATCTGCCTGTTCTCTTTACCGCGCCGGGCCCGCTCTGGTCTGGTTTTAATAGCGTGCCAACGCCTCACCAATGACCATTTTCCCCACTCACGCTCCCAGGCAAGCCCCTGCCGCCATCCGCGGACCGTGCGCCTCCTGCCCCTTCCGACCTGTGAAGTCTCAACAGCAGTTTGTATTCTTCTGCTTCCCAGGCCACCATTACTGGTCTGGATGCATCTTCCTCAAACCTCTTCAAGCCATCCAACCTTGTTTTCGCCACACTTCTCTCACCACTTCACACAAGGACAATGCCACAAGTCTCCTCCAACAGGCAGCCCACCTTCCCAGCTCCCTTCCACGTGGTCCCGACTTCATGCTAGCAAACTCATCCTGTCACCTCAGCAGGAGGCTCTGATTTCAGGACATCCCAAAGAACACCCACTCGTTACAGAATAAAGCCTAAGCTTCCAGCTTTTACTGCAAGGCCTCATAAGATCTAACCCCAACAGGCTTTATTTCCCAGCTATTTTTTTTTAAGATTTATTTATGTATTTGAAAGCCACCTGGTTCTCTAATGAACTCTTCATTCCAAACACAGCTCAGAGAGCAGAGAACTCTTTGCACTTGTGCTTATTAGGCTAACGGAGGCAGAAACCCCTCTAGATACACTTTCTCTCTGCCTGTCCAAATCTTTGATTTCACTCATTTCTTGAGCTACAGCCAAAATACAGGACAAATATGTGGGTCACACACGGCAGCACTGCTCTGCATCTGTCATTTAACTGTCCATATGTGTATGTATGTGGATATGTGTAGTCCATGCATGTTCAGTCATTGCAGGAGAAACCTGATCTTAGGGCATTTGCTGTAACTTACAAAGGCTTATGCCTTCAAAAATTCAAAGAAATTAAAATTAGATCAAAACAGTTTAGGGCCTGGCGCGATAGTGTAGCAGTTAAGATCCTTGCCTTACATGGGCCGGGATCCCATGTGGGTGCTGGTTTTAATCCCGGCTGCCCCGCTTCCCATCCAGCTCCTTGCCTGTGGCCTAGGAAAGCAGTCAAGGATAGCCAAAAGCTTTGGGACCCTGCACCCGCGTGGGAGACCCGGAAGAGCTCCTGGCTTCGGATCGGCTCATCTCCAGCCACTGCGGCCACCTGGGGAGTGAACCAGTGGACGAAAGATCTTTCCTCTCTGTCTCTTCTCCTCTCTGTATATCTGCCTTTCTAACATAAATAAATAATATCTTTAAAAAATTTTTTTAAAGAAATTTCTGAGAGGTAAATTGATATTGCTTCAGGAGTAAAGATGTGGTATCCAAAGAGAATTGTTGGAAAAATAAACAAACAAAAATCAAAAAAACAAAACTAAGGGTCACTTCTTCCCAAGGGCAATTAAGCTTCCCGAGCCCGGGAAGGCCGACCAGCTCCACGGAACCACCACCGCAGCAGCACAAGCCCTGCTAGTGTCCTCTGAAGCAAATCCTTCAGACTTCAAATGAGAGCCCCAGCTCCAACGCCGCAGGAACCCCCAAAACTAAAGGCACAAATCTGAGAAAAGACCCCTTCCTGCCTCCGATTATTCCAAATGCCGTGAGACTCACCTTTCATCTCAGGCCAAATTTTGTTCTTCCACTGATCAATACACACAATGATCATCAGGCCGAACGCAAGCAGGAACACCAGACGGAGGGAAGTCAGCGCCAGGAACCTGCGAGAAGGAAAGCCCGAAGGAGACCATTACCCAGTCAAGTTCACTTCAAGAAATGGGCAACCCACCGCAGGCTGCGAGTGGCAGACTTAACTCCAGGGGGTTTCTTTTTTCGCTGTGCTGATACTGACTTGGATAGACATTAAGGAGCATTTCGGGGGGCTGGGGTGTTCGGTCTAGCACAGGACACCGCATCCTACTTCGGAACACGTGCACTTGAGGTCCGGCTCTGTTGCCAACTGCAGTTTCCTGCTGATGTGCGCCCAGAAGGGCGGGATGGAGTTGGATCCCTCCACCCAGGCGACAGACTGTCAGCTCCCGCCTCCGGCCTGCCCAGCACCATCTGTGATCTGGTGCACAGGAGACTGAGTCCTGTTGGTATTTTTCTGCCTTTCAAATAAATATAGATAAAAAGGCATGAGTGTTGGTACACTTTATTTTGTGAGGTCAAAATTATTCTGATGCTGAGAACAAGGCTAAGCGAAAACTTTGGACCAACATCCTTTAGGAATCCAGATGCAAACACTCTCACTAAAATACAGGTGGGAGTTTACTCAGCCTCCTGGTTGACACCAGCATTCTACAACCAAGTATGTGGGTCAATTCCCAGTTCCTAAATCCAGCTTCCAGGCGGTGCTGGTGATTACCCAAATATTTGGGTTCCCACTCCCTGCACTCGAATCTTGGGTGGCCAGCTCCTAGCTTTGCTAGCACTGTCCCAGCCACAGCATCCACCTGGGAACTGAGCCAGCAGTCAGAAGCTCACTCTCTCTGCCCATCTGCTAGCTCCAGCTCTCTCTCTGCCTCTCAAACACAACAAAACTTTTGGGCCAAGCGCGGTAGCCTAGTGGCTAAAGTCCTCGCCTTGAACCCGCCCCGGAATCCCATATGGGCACTGGTTCTAATTCCGGTAGCCCCACTTTTTATCCAGCTCCCTGCTTGTGGCCTGGGAAAGCAGTTGAGGATGGCCCAAAGTCTTGGGACCCTGCACCCGTGTGGGAGACCCAGAAGAGGCTCTTGGCTCCTGATCAGCTCAGCTCCAGCCGATATGGTCACTTGGGGAGTGAACCAGCAGATGGAAGATCTTTCTGTCTCTCCTCCTCTCTGTATATCTGACTTTGCAATAAATAAATAAATCTTAAGAAAAAAAATCACAACCTTTCAGAGATATTAAAATTTTTACGAATAAAATGATATGAAGCCTGGAATTTGCTGGAAGATTGTTGTGAGTGAAAAGTACTGAAGCTGGGTGACATGAAAATGGGATTCTGTATCTCTGTATATGTTTGAATTCTTTCACAATAAAATGTTAAAACAAAACAAATAAAATCCAATTCTTGGGTCAGTGTTGTGGTGCAGCAGCTTAAGACGCCAGCATCCCACACTGGAACACTGGTTCGAATTCCAGCCACTCCACTTCCCTTGCAGCTTCCTGCTAATGCACCTGGGAAGGTAATAGGTGGGGACCCCAGCACTTGGATCTCTGCCACCTACATAGGAGATCCAGGCTCAGCTCCTGGCTCCTGCCTTCAGCCTGGCCGGCTCGAGATGGTGCAGTCATTTACAGAGTGAACCAGAGGGTGGATGCTCTCATTTCTGTCTCTCTCTCTCCACTGCTCTACCTTTCAAATCAAGAAGTAAGTCTGAGACGACAGAGAACACAACCTGCTTCTGATGTCACTGCTCTACCCATGCCTCTCAGTCAGAGCCCTTGGGGCACCTCCAGCCCCGGGTTGGCCGCGAGCTCACGCTGTCAGGCCCAGGGAAGCATTCACACTGTGCAGTCACCTCACCAGGGACTCGTCACTCTAATGATATATTTGAATCTGCATGTTGTATCTCTTTTTTTTTTCCCTTTTTCTGATAACTCATTTATATCTTTCTTTAAAAAAAAAAAGATATATTTATTTATTTTATTACAAAGTCAGATATACAGAGAGGAGGAGAGGCAGAGAGGAAGATCTTCTGTCTGATGGTTCACTCCCCAAGCGGCCACAATGGCCGGTGCTGCACCGATCAGGAGCCAGGAGCCAGGAACTTTCTCCAGGTCTCCCACACGAGTGCAGGATCCCAAGCTTTGGGCCGTCCTCGACTGCTTTCCCAGGCTACAAGCAGGGAGCTGGATGAGAAGTGGGATCACTGGGATTAGAACCAGTAGTACCCATATGGGATTCCGGCGCATTCAAGGAGAGGACTTTAGCTGCTAGGCCACACCTCTGGGCCCTATTTTGTATCTTTCAAGAGCACAGATTTGCAACAGACTAGAGGAAGGACACACCAGTTTTTCAGCACATGTGTCATGTGACCATGAATAGTGTCCTTATGTATAACAGGATGGTAACAAATCTTCCTGGGGTGTTTATGGATGTGGGAAGCAATGTACTGACTCACTTGACAAGTGTCACGTTGCATTTTAGTCGAAAAGCCAAGATGTAAGGGCACCTCTTAAATGCTTATCAGTACATTCCATGCAATTGTACAAAGTAGCAATGCTATTAGCTATATATTACAACTGCAATTGATCAGAGTAAGAATGGTCCAAGATGGGGCCAGCATTGTGGTGCCCCAAGGTAAGCTGATGCCTGCAAAGCTGGCATCTCACATGAATACCGGTTCAAGTCCCAGCCACCCTGTTTGCCGCCCAGCACTCTAACCGATGCACCTGGGAGGGAAAGGCCCAAGTGCTCGGGGCTCTGCCACCCCACGGGTGACCCGGAAGGAAGTTCAGGCGTCTGCCTTCAGCTCGATTCAACCTTGGCCCTCACGGCCATTTGGGAGAAAACTTGCAGATGCAAGCGTTTCTGTTCTTGCTCCCTCTCGCTTCTCTCTCTTGCTCTGCCTTTCAAATAAATAAAGCAATAAAGCTATTTTTACAGAATAACCAAGGTTTGGTTAGAAACTGATGCATCTGTAATGACCTCTTCTCAACAGAATACATGGCCAAATGACTTGACATAAACACAGGACAATACTAAGAGTACAACTCCTGTATCATAAAAACCAAAGCCAAAACTCCACCTGCGCATACACATGAACACAGAGACACAGATGGTGATCGTTAGCCTTTTTGCTGTCGTAACAGTTTTGCTGCATTCACCCATTAAGCTGTATAATTTTAATTCGTTTATTTATTTGAGACAGAGAAACTTCATCCACTGGTTCATCCCCCAAAATGCCCACAATAGCCAGGGATGGGCCAGGCTGAAGTCCGGAGCCAGAAACTCTAGCTGGTTCTCCCGTGTGAGCACTGGAACCCAGCGACTCAGAACAGCACGTGCTGCCTCCCAGGTGTGCAGGGGAGCCGATCCCAAGGGGAGGTGCCAGGACTTGAACAGGTAACTCTGTGAGATCCAAGTGCCCCAAACCAGGATTTAACCTGCTGTGCCACAAGGGCCACCCCTGGACATAGGCGTGCTAACTCTTGGTTAAATGCCCATCTCAGTACAAATTTTTTTAAAGATTTTATTTATTTTCATTGGAAAGTCAGATATACAGAGGAGGAGGAGAAACAGAGAGGAAAATCTTCTGTCTGATGATTCACTCCAAAAGCGGCCACAAAACGGCTGGAGCTGAGCCAGTCTGAAGCTAGGAGCCCAGAGCCTCTTCCACGTCTCCCATATGGGTGCAGGGTCCCAAAACTTTGGGTCGTTCTCAACTGCTTCCCCAGGCCACAAGCAGGGAGCTGGATGGGAAGTGGGGCCGCTGGGATTAGAATCAGCACCCATATGGAATCCGGTGCATGCAGGTAAGGACTTTAGCCACTAGGCTACCACACCAGGCCCATCTTAGTATAATTTTTTTTAAAGATTTATTTTATTTTTATTGAAAAGGCGGATATACAGAGAAGGAGAGACAGAGAGGAAGATTTTCTGTCCGATGATTCACTCCCCAGGTGGCCGCAACGGCTGGAGCTGAGCCAATCCGAAGCCAGGAGCCTCTTCTGGGTCTCCCACGCGGGTGCAGGGTCCCAAAGCCTTGGGCCGTCCTCGACTGCTTTCCCAGGCCACAGGCAGGGAGCTGGATGGAAAGCAGGGCTGCCGGGATTAGAACCGGTGCCCATATGGGATCCCGGGCGTACAAGGTGAGGACCTTAACCACTGCGCCATCGCACCGGGCCCATAGTATAATTTTTTAAATGACAATTTCTAAAACCAAACAAAGAATGAGGGATGAAAGAAGACAAAGCATTTAGAAGTGCAGTCACCAATGACAATCCTAGTCTAATTTTTCCATCCCTCTGTAATTACACGTGAGATCAAAGGATGAAAGCAGCTTAACAGCAACAAACCCTTAGAGCGGCCCCAGGATGTTAATTCCCTCTACAGAGCCAGGGCATCATCCCAACAAACGGGCAAATTCAGCAAGGCCAAGGGCCGCCGAGTGCCTTACCCCCAGCTCGCTGCCCCCCCAGTGCCAGCAGCAGGCTGCGACAGGCCAGCCGTTCCCTCCAGAGCGCCTGACAGGGCTTTCTAGGGAGGGGAGCCAGGCTATGCGCTCGGGTTTCCAGCGTGTGATCACGAACACAAATAGCAACTGGGGTGGGAAGAGGACACAGGGCTCGCCGAGCAAGGCCGGCTTTCTGCAAAGGCAGTGAGATCGCTTTCCCCGAGACCTGGAGGGCTCCTGCGCGCTGCTGCGGCCTCCACACTCCATTCTCATGAACCGTGCCTCAACCCAACGTCCGCTGAGCGCGCCGTGTGAACACGGGCTACTCTGTTCTCGGAAACACACATGAACCCCTCTCCCAAGCTGTGCGTGTGCGCTTCGAACAAATACACAACGGACATGGTAGTAACGAAGAACACAAACTCGGATTTTGGCGGCAGATGGTAAAGAAACGGGGGCAAAAAGAGGTGAGGAAGGACCTTAGGAGAGGATGATAAGCTAGCAAGCTCCAGCTAAGGAAGCAGAAGCAGTCTGACAGAACTGAGACACATGGCCCAGCACAGTAGCCTAGTGGCTAAAGTCCTCACCTTGCACATGACAGGATCCCATATGGA